CATTGTAGTATCACCGGAGGACGATGGCCAGCGGACGGTGGCTGGAGAGAGAAGAGAGGAGGGAGGAAAGTTGTAAAATACCAAAAATATCCTTGCATTAAAATTTTAATTCAAAATTGCCAAAATTATAAATTTCCTAATTTATCTATTGATTTGTGGTTAATATTAGTTCTCACAGTTACCACAAACAACTCAGTTCTCCCTTGAATAGACCCCTATATATATATATATATATATATATATATATATATATAAAGATGTTGAAATATCTATCTATAAATATTTAAAATGACAAAAAAGAAGATGATGAAGTATTGGTGTTACACTCTACAATTGTATTATTTTAAAATCAATTTATCTACAAGTAAGTAAAAATCTATATCTACGTAAAAAAAAAACCTTGAGGTATTGAGGTGACATCATGAGAATTAAGTATTCTCAAATGGGGTTGAGTTTAATTGTCCCACATTGGTAAAGAATTGAAAGATTAGAACAAAATGATATGTATAAAAAAGGTGCATTTGATGCCTTTGTCTCAATCATGGAGTTTGACTCATAATGTTGTCTTATTTGGATAACCCTCTTTGATATATATAATCATGGTTGAAATCCAAACCAATCAAATAATAAATTTATATTGCAAAACACAGTTAAAATATAATGCAAAACACAAAGTTAAAAACAAATTATTTATTTCATAAAATATCATTCATCTTGAAATAAAGTTGAGGTTCATCATCCCATATTAGTAGAAAGATGATAGTTTGGAAGAAGATGAAAGATATATAAATGACTGATGAATGCTTTGAGATCTATAACTATGGTTGGAATCAAAAACAATCAAATGATAAAATTATAGTGCAAAACACACAGTTAAAATATGATGCAAAGCACAAAGTTGAAAACAAATTTAAATATAAAAGTAAAAATCCACAACATTGACAATGCATCTGAATAATTGAGTAATCTTCATTTTTGAATTGTAGTTGAGTTTTGTTTATCCCAATTTAATATGCCTTTATGGCAACTCATATAGTTGGCTACCTTTAACCGATCCTCTAAACTCATTCTTAGCTTATTTTGACTAACCTTCCGAACTCAGGGAGTTGGTTAATTTTGGCCAACCCTCTTAAAAATTTAATCTATATAGAAAATTAAATATAATAGAAGAACTGATTATTTGAGATTATGTGGTATTATGAGATTTAAAAATTATTTTATTGGTATTAGATTTGGTTAGGGAAAAGTCTAAAAAAACCCAATGGACGTTAGTGTTTGGAATGATTAAGGCATTAGACAATTTTTTGGAACAAATAAGTTCTTGAACATTTCAAAACATGTTAAATAACTCATTGGACTTTCTAAAACCTGTTAGATACATTCTTATGACCTATAAAAGCTGTTAATATGGTAAAATAATGAAAAAAAAAAGGGGGAAAAACTCAATTGACTTTCATATTTTGAACAATTAAGTTCCTAAACATTTTTT